GAAACTTGGAAGTTTTCAGTAAAGAACTCCTACCACTTTATTAAATCAATTGATGATCAGACAATAGAAAAGAGAGATTTGCTGGTAAATTTCGATGTAGTGTCTATGTAAACTAATATTTCGATAAATGAAGCAATGCGGGCGTTATAATTAACTCTAGATTATCACCCTGAAATCATAATATGTAAAAAGTTAAGCAAAGATTCAAAAATTATATTGGTCTATTTGGCAATGTTTAATACATATTTTACCTTCAATGGCAAGTTGTGTAAACAAACATGGGTCTTAACTATGGTAGCACACAACTCGTCAACGGATTAGCTTCTCTTCTCATTTTGGCGACTTATAGTTTGGCGTTAAGTGTGAAAAGACTCATTGACGATGCAGGCGAAGCGTATGTGAATGTATCAAACCCACGGTCCGACCATGGAAGTCATCATGCATACTAGGGACTCCGAAACACAAAGTTCATGTGTATTAAACTCACGAAGGTTAATGACAGATTATCAAAAATATTGAAGCGCCAATGCATTTTCTCAGGGGATTAATAACATGACACTGAAATTTACAGAATTATTGGTAAGTTTTGATGTAAAATCTCTGTACACAAACATTTCTGGAGAAAAGACACTAACGGCCCTGGCAGAAATTTTGGATCGAGAAAAGGATATCATGAAAGCAAAGAGTATCAGAAGTCGTTAACACGATTAAGCAACTTGACAATAAGTACCACTTACTTCACATTAAAGGGCATCATCTATGAACAGCCATTTGAACTTCCTATAGAACCGCCGCTTTTACCTCTATTGGCAAATGTAGTTATGAACAAAGTAAACGACAATTTCATGGCGTCACCTCTGCAAACAAGAGTTCTTATGCGGTCGCAATTTTATCGTATGGTGAAGAAAAGATGGAGGATTTCCTGAAATGTATACACTTGATTGATGAAAGAATCAACTTCACCATGGATGTAGAGGAAGAGAGACGTTTAGCCTTCTCTGATGTAGAAGTCATTCCCTCTAATGGGACAGTGTCCCGAAAGAAGTCATCCACCAGAATAATACTCAATTTCCTATCTCATCACAACTACAGAATGAAGATGGGAATACTCTGGGGCATGATCAGCAAACGCCTACGATTAACGGAAGAATTGGGAAAGTTGACTCGGATATTGCGCAGTAACGGATACCCGAGATAAGTAATGAAAATAAACATACTGGCTGCGAAGAGCCGATGGCGCGACGGGGATCATGAAAGAAAGGTAAAAATGAAGAAAGATTCACAAAGATAGAAATGCCCCCATTCCTGCGAGCTAGCTGAAAAATGGAATATTCAGGTGACCACGAGTAAAAAAACAACTCTTCGCAAGTCTACCCATCCATATTGGATTGCTGGGGAGCATGCGGCGTCTGCGAACAGATATGTATTGGCGAAATATGGAGAAAAATCAGCAGAAAAATGGACAACATAAGATCGGATATAGCGGAACACATCGCACAGACTGGACACGAAATCAATTGGAAGGAAGGTTATGAAAGCCATTGACATTCTTGGGGGAAAAAAATTAATTTACAGGATATTGGAAAAGGCAGATTCAGCGATTATTGCCTAATACCCTATTTCGTTTGAGGTGATGAAGGACTGGTAGTCGAATTTTGCCACAATGATATGAGCAGAAGCTGATGTTTCCATTGAATTTCATACCGTCGTGCTTTTCCAAAAGGTGTTCTCATCCAGGATGGACTGCATTCTGATCAGACCCCCAGCGGGAGTCGAACCGTGACAGGGCAGCATGTGAGCGTGAACAACTTTTGGGAAAGCAAGGCTCTGTAAACTTCAATGTAAACGCCAGCTTCTGCTCGTATCATTGTGGCAATATTCTACTAACATTCCTTCATCACCTTACACGAAATTGTGTGAAAGCACCTCATATTACTGATTTACTGATAGTCTCGAAACCACACTTAAATACG